CAATAATGAATTAAATACAATAAACGCACTTGATCATCCTTGATTCGAGGTTCTATAAACGATTCTATTTGTCGTATGAACCTAAAATAGTCGCGAGACCTTCCATCAAAATATGAGAGTTCAACCTTAGGTAATTCTAAACCCTCTATCGATGACTTACAATAATAAATATCAGACATAACATGTGGGTTACCCATAAAAAAGTTATCACTAACGACTTGCCTAGAGCCCTGTGATCCGTCGAGCTCTTCCACCGTCCTCATGTGTGATTTTTTTCGGTTTGACATCATAAATAAAGTTCAGTAAAGAAGGTAACAATACAAAATAGAGTAATTCCAAAGTTCAGTTCAAAATTACGATAAACGATTAAAATTCCAAATGTTTCCTTGTAATTCTTAATAATCCGAATAGTTCCAAAATATATATGTTCTGATGGATATTTCCCAAGTATAATTCAAAATAGAAGAAAATTCCACAAAGTATGATCCACGAAAGATGAAATTCCACAAGGTATAGTCCACGAACGGAGAAAATACCAGACTGTAGAATCTATTTCGACGGTGGCTGTCCTAATTGCTTCCAATAGAAACACTCCTGTACGTTACTCCTAGATCCAGGTCCCAGCCAAATCAAAAGGGCAAAATTTCTAGGAGAAAACGTCTGGTATTTTTGTTTCTTCCAGGACTAAATTACTCCGTAGAGTATCCAGTACAATAGCTAGTAAGTGACACTAAGTCCAGCAGCCACCGCGTCCATCCAAAAATGTGGCGGTAGCCATATTATATCAAATTTAAACAATATATGTACAGTTCAGAAGCAAACACAAAAACTTCAATATAAGTACAAATATAGAAAGAATAACAATATACAATGATAAAATCTCAAATTGGAATCAAATAAAATACCAAAAATGTCAAGAGAAAAAGTCCATCATGTCATAGCAAAAATATGTAAACATGGAGGGATTTTCCAAAACACAAAACATTCAAAAAGAATTCTACACCGGCCCGCAAAATCCCTCCATGCAAAAAGAGCAAGCGTTAATGACACTTTATTTAGGGTTCCCATGTTATCCCCTAATCCACACCGGAATAACGTGTAGGACTTACAGCAGTACGCCTACCCGCCATCCAACATGGATATGACCTATCGTGTTAACTAGGTACCTATACTTTCCCATCAGGCCCTTGATTCCCCTATCTATCGTGGAATGACCTAACGGTAGTATAAACCTTACCCAATTAACCCATACGAACATGAACAACGCGTCGCAAAACTGGTCATATCCTATCCAAGGACTACATTCTCTATCATGGGGACGAGTCGCCAATCCACCACCACTTGCTCCGATCAGCAGATACCATGAAGTCCGTGATGCTAACTTATCAACAGAAGTTTTTGACCCATAAATAATATGCAAGGGTGGGATCTCCAATTTTGACATTTCATCGTCTCCAGAAGACCTTAAGTAGCATGACGTAGGATCAATATTTATCCTTCCATCTCCTGATGCAGAGGAGGTTTGAACAGTATTCATCATCGTCGGTAACTCATTTGTCACATCAGTGACATCCAGTTTATTATCAACGTCTAAATGATTCCGTTCTGCATTAGCATCCGTTTCCGCGGCACAAGACATATGCTCAACAATAGCATCGTCATCACACAGCACTGTAGACTGGCTGTTACCATCAAACACTTTCTTCTCATCATCACTCGACTGACAGTCAACCGTAATAGGAACAGTTACAGTTGCACAACCTTGTGCATCTTCAATCAACTTAACCTTCGTGACGAGGTCCGATGGCGTCGAAACACTAGGAGGCTCATTCGATGAAGTTGATAAACTAGTCCCTATAAGTGGACTGCTGACACTTTCTATATCCTTATTATCACTGTCACTACTAAGGTTCTGATGGCTACTATTTCCATGGCTAGTCGTAGCATCCGAAAGAGCATGAGGTTCAGGCTTCTTAGTAATAGTAGCATCATGTCTCCTAGGCTTCTTAGCCGTTACTGTACCACCATCACTTATCCTAGAATCTACTCTAGGTCCAGTTATATAATTTACCCTAACTGAAGGGTTCCGAAAATAAGCTTTATTCCGTTCAGTCAATCCTGCCTGGGCCTTATTCATATTTGCTGAACTCATTAACCTCTGATTACTCGAATCCAAATAACCATTCCAGGCTTTTCGAGCAGCTAAGAGGCTTTTATCATCACACACTTCGGATCCATCTTGATGCCTACACTTTTCGCCTTTTTCTTTCTTTTCTACACTTAGAAAAGCCATCTTATCTGTTACACCAACCGGCTTCTTGCTAGGACACGCATCAAGAGGCTTTACATCGTTACGGTCACATACTCGTCCTTCATCAGCGTATGCTTTCGTGATATAATTGACAAATCTCTTATCTTCCGAGCGTGCTTTAGGTAGAAACGAAAAATCCGAATGTCTCGCACGCAGACCACTAGTAGCTTCCGTATTATTTCCTGTTTTAGCCTGATAAGCTAATCTTCCAAACCTACTACTAGCTATCTTAGCACGAGACATAATAAATTCCGTCAATTCGTTAAAATTAGGCTCTCTCTCCTCTTCGTCCCACTTGAATACTAGCTCTGCCCACTGGGCTTGCATTCGACGAGGTAAGAGCCTTACTATTCGTTCTAAAGTAGCCATAGAGTTAAGTTCAGCTGTACAATTTAACTGTTCTAAAGTTAAAGCAGCGTTCTGCATTTTAATAGCCAAGTTCGTCAATGATTCAGGATCATTAAATTCTACATTCCCAGTTCTAAATAAGTCCTCTAAGGTTTCTCGCGCTATTACATGCGTCTGTCCAAAGAGCTGTTTTAGAATGGCCTTAGCTCTCTTATATCCTGATTGTGGATCCATAATAATACAGCCTTCAATCGCATTTTTTGCTTTTCCCTTACAATAATGAATTAAATACAATAAACGCACTTGATCATCCTTGATTCGAGGTTCTATAAACGTCTCTATTTGTCGTATGAACCTAAAATAGTCGCGAGACCTTCCATCAAAAAATGAGAGTTCAACCTTAGGTAATTCTAAACCCTCTATCGATGACTTACAATAATAAATATCAGACATAACATGTGGGTTACCCATAAAAAAGTTATCACTAACGACTTGCCTAGAGCCCTGTGATCCGTCGAGCTCTTCCACCGTCCTCATGTGTGATTTTTTTCGGTTTGACATCATAAATAAAGTTCAGTAAAGAAGGTAACAATACAAAATAGAGTAAATCCAAAGTTCAGTTCAAAATTACGATAAACGATTAAAATTCCAAATGTTTCCTTGTAATTCTTAATAATCCGAATAGTTCCAAATTATATATGTTCCGATGAAGATTTCCAAAGTATAATTCAAAATAGAAGAAAATTCCACAAAGTATGATCCACGAAAGATGAAATTCCACAAGGTATAGTCCACGAACGGAGAAAATACCAGACTGTAGAATCTATTTCGACGGTGGCTGTCCTAATTGCTTCCAATAGAAACACTCCTGTACGTTACTCCTAGATCCAGGTCCCAGCCAAATCAAAAGGGCAAAATTTCTAGGAGAAAACGTCTGGTATTTTTGTTTCTTCCAGGACTAAATTACTCCGTAGAGTATCCAGTACAATAGCTAGTAAGTGACACTAAGTCCAGCAGCCACCGCGTCCATCCAAAAATGTGGCGGTAGCCATATTATATCAGATTTAAACAATATATGTACAGTTCAGAAGCAAACACAAAAACTTCAATATAGGTACAAATATAGAAAGAATAACAATATATAATGATAAAATCTCAAATTGGAATCAAATAAAATACCGAAAATGTCAAGAGAAAAAGTCCATCATGTCATAGCAAAAATATGTAAACATGGAGGGATTTTCCAAAACACAAAACATTCAAAAAGAATTCTACAGTAACTACTAATTCGCAATTGTGAGACAACGGGCAACGTACGTGCGTTGTTTTCGTATTCAGTAGTTGAAAATCATGGATTTAACGCCGATCAATACTGTCCTTTTGACTTCATGTGAAACTGGAGTGCCAATAGCTTTTTCGGACAATACTAAAATCTATCAGACAGTCAAATTAGTTCCTGACTAGTTTAACAGGCAATTGAGAGAGCGATCTCGAGAATTTAGGTGGTCCTGTTGTCGTGATTTGATCTGAAGAATTGTTGTCTATACACTGTGATTGCAGTCATGTTAGTCCCGATCTCGGGTACCTGTCTAGTATCGGCTAGAAGAACTGATAGATTAGGGTTCGATCGTAGTTGGACATAACCTATAGCCAAATAATTAAACCCCACAAACAAATAACTTTAAAATACCGTTACTAACTTGCATTTAGATGGTTCTGCGAGCATGTTATGGTGTTGTAGCTAGTCCTTATTAATAAATGGTACTAACATGTTCTTTGCAATGGCAAACTCGGCGAACGGATTAAGATTGATGTTTAGGTAAACTTACCTTTTTTCTGAAAACAACGACTAGTTTTTCGAATGCTGTCTGTTAACTGAAAACTAAATCTTGTTAAAGACAATATGTGCTGGCTGAATGGAACCTTACTTCTGTGCCAGTGTAGATGAAATACCGAATCTTCTTCACCACACCAGTGATGTAAAGAAGACAGTGTTGTTCATTGGAGGAGGTTGCATTACACAGCGTCGCAGGATTTAGAGCTAGCGATACTGCTGGGTTTCTTGTACTCTCTCGAAGATTTGCCATGGTACTAACATCAGGGGGATTGCTCTGTTTCCTTCTGTTTAGAGACAGATCTTCTTCGTAACGAAGGCTTTGATCGTTTGCGGTTGTGTCCATATTCAAAAACTTGGTTAACACAACACAGAGGTCTGTATTTTCATTTCAGACCTATCGAGATGTTTGTTCAAGAGTAAAAACCTCGAAGCAATGAAATCTGTTGATATCCTGAAAATTTTCACTAGTTTTTCACGGTATTATTATCTCATCATGAACTTCTAGCATTGATGTACATTCCTACTTCGACCCTTGCAGGCGCGTGAACCGACAAGGTCACTTCGGCATCGTCCAAGGTCGTCCCTGAGTTTGTCTCATTAAGCTAACTTGTATAACTTATCATGTTTTTATTTGGGAATATCTTGCTTTTATTTGCCATTAAGTTAACCTTAATTCCGCCATAAATTTCCTCAAAACTGATACAGGGCTATAACGAATTTCCAGGCAATGCTGTTGAAATTACCGACGTTTTGCACAGTTTCCAATAAACGTTAGATCACTCGAAATTGTAAGATTAGTGGCTATGCTGAAATCATGATTTTTTTGGGTGACGCCTGGTTTTTGACACTGGCTAAGTTTATGTTCATGATCTTTACGGGCTGGTCTGTTTTTTTTCGTGTTACTTTCCTAAACAAAGAAATCCTAACATGGTGTGTTCTTCTTGCAAACAAGAAATACCAGGTAGTTATATATATATATATATTTAGTCCAGTGTCTTGGTATGTACACACTCGATCATCTGGAATACATACTTAGCTTATCCGTTTTTACTGTGCCTCTGTAATACCTGAAAATTGGATATTACAAGTGCAAGCATCAAATGTTTATCTTACTAGCTTATGTGTTACTGCTGAATGGGATCGATTTCTCTAGTTTTTTGAAGGTGTTCTTTCGTTGTTTATTGGTGCTAATAAGCTCTATTCAGGACTAAATTTGTTTCCTGTCAGCAAAGAATACTTGCTTGCATAATTCCTTCTGTCCATTTATTATTTAAGTCATTACGATAGCCTACTATAAGTCGGTTTTTTTTCTTCAAGTGACAAAATACGTTGTAATGTGTAATACATTTTCTAACAATATCTAGTAAATGCCACAAATCTATTTGTTATTTTTAAGCAGTAGCTTATCGCTTTCTGTTCTAACTCTTGTAATGAATTGGTTCTGTAGTACATGACTGTTTGATTACATCACTTATTGAAGATTAAATGGATTTCATTTACTCTCGTTCCAGGAAAGTATGTCTTTAAAGACATTCAAATATAGTTTACGCACTAAAAAGTCAGCCTGGTAGTAAAATCAAACTAAATAATTTAGTCGATCGCGTCGCTAGTTGATCCATCAGCATCTTAAGTGACTGAAAATATTAGTATGATGTACCCCTATGTTTTTACCATGCATAAGTGAACTCATAAGTAAATGGTCTTCAACCATGGATTACTATCTTTTCGCAGGTCCAAACCAGGTGATCTAAATTTACCAACACGACTCATTCCACTTGTCAGTGACTTCATGGATTTGTACTATGTTTTGGTTTTGCCGCTCCTAGCTATCTTCCAACCTACTCCTACACCACAAAACATAGCTCGACGAGGCAGTCGGTAGTTGGCCATTCGTAACATGTCCCAACCACCTCATCTGATGGAGTTTCAGTACTTTATCTATCGATCTGTCACCCTTACCCCCTATCCGTTTCCTACCCGGTTTTCTCAAGACAAACGAGCAGTGCTTCGGACATCTACAATCGAATACTAATAACCTACGAATGCGCTCTACTCTTAGCGGCCATGTTTCGAATCCATATAGTAGGACCGAGCAGACTGCTGCGCAGTAGACTCGTCCTTTGGTTAGCAGATGGATATCTCGCCTACTCCATAAGATGATGCAAGTTGGCAAAAGCCGATTGAGCCTTCTGTATCCGTGCTGAGATTTCGTCCGCCACTAGACCATCAGCGCTGATCAGGCGTAAAGCGTTCAACACGTCCAACTGCTTCACTGCTTATCACTAGTTCAGGTTGATGCAAACGAATCCTGAAGCAACTTTTCTCATTTCGACGGGGAGAATCGCCTCTCGAACGTGCTTGCATTGTTACTTAAGGTGGTCAGAAGACTGCATTGTGTCAGCGTCTTCATTGAATAGGACTATGTCATCGGCATATTCTATGTCAAAAAGCGCGTGTCCTGGTAGAAGGTTCGAAGATACTAAAAACCTGACTATTAGTGTTTAAAAGCTTCAATAACGTCTGTCCAAATCGTTAAACGAATATAGCATACATATACACCTATGTCAGCAGTATCACTGCTGACTTTGGAAAACGTAACTGACTATCTTACTCTACCAGATATCCGTAAAATGTCAGAAATCGGCGGCTGAGGACCGTAAGCGAGTCAGTTCCAGATCGAACGAATTTTGTCATGTCCTAGGTATAAGACATCGCATCAGAATAAATATATTACGAAACCGATTGCATCCCCCACATTATTTGCATCCTCATACTTGCTCATTTCTACTCCCCATAATGTTGAACAGTGTAGCGGCTTAGATGTTTATAACATTCAGGTATAATTTATTGTTTTCCGTTATACTGAAGTTTCTATGTGTTTATTTTTAGGGTGTATCACGAAGTCTGTTTTCATGTTGCCTACGTATTTTTCCTTTCCTTTTAGATTGGGCGATAAAACCATGCAGTCATCAAAGTTTATGAGCAGAAACGGCATTCCATTGCAAGCTATCTGTCGGTAAGTTTTGACTATCATTTAGCCTTCATTCAGATAGGTATCGAAGTTTTGGTATCAAATTAAAGAGCTTTGATCCACCTTATTTGGTAAGTAAAATTTCTGATGAAATATATATTTAGGTTAATTAGTCTGCCAAACCGCCAATTCATGTTTATCAAAGTTTACAGTTCGATGTAAAAGGGCATGACTACGTGCAGTTAGAGAAATTCACTTCATATATTCACAAATTTTTTAACAACTGCGGTTATGAAGTTGAAAGGTACATCAATTTTCAATAATCTCATTCCCGTTAATTCCTTAAAATTAGTTTTCCACTGCCTCCCAACAAAAAGCTCTACCGACTTTACCATACCAATTCAACAAATATCCGATCAGATTTCGAAATATCTGAATTCCGAAGAATATATAGAGTACCACTACCTATATTTGTTTACTTCTTTTGTGACTCCTTCAGATATCGGGTGTAAAAGCTGTTCACTTACCAATATTGTTAGATCTTATCTATCAGAACTTATCTTCAGGGATTAAAATTGATGTTGGAAAGGTATTGTTCGACTTTTAAAGCTAATAAGTCATAATTTCCTGTAGATGGATACTTCCTTAGATGAAGGTCGTTTCGTTCCACAACTTGAAAAAGAAGCTTTGGAGAAGGAGTTATCGAAACTGAAAGCCTAGAAATTTCTATCTTGTTGGCATTTTGTACACAATTAAAGCTAATTCTTAGGCACTGGTATTTTTGTTTGCTATCCTATTTGATTGAGCTCTTGATAAGGTATATGGAAAGCTTCTATGTTAGAAATTTAATTAAAGTGGACATTTTTCTTACAAATAAGGAATAAAATATCATCCACCTAGCTTTGCTTATTTCTTCGCCATAATTTACTTGTGTGTAATAAAGAGTAATTTTTGAGTCCATGTTTTTAAATTTCTAAGCTACTGTTATTACCTTTTACATATATTGTGTTGACTAATTGTATAATTACATTACTTATAAGTACTGTATTTCCTAACCTGAGCAGTAGAAGTCATCTATAAACTTATCTTCAACATATTCTGTTAGTAAGGAGCAAATAATAACATAGTAATTTAGTTATATTTGTTTGTTAACGTAGTTTTATTGATTTTGTAAATTGTATACGTACACTAAGTTGTTGATTAAGTAGCGTCAACTACTGTTCAGTTCAGTATATTCGCATCCAACTAGTGATCGGACAAGTAAATCAGATATAAATTAGTGTAATCTAATTGTAATTTTGAATTTATTTCTGATGGGTGATAGGGTCTTCATTTCATTTCTTTGTCTTCTTTACGCTTGGTCTTGTTAATAATTGTTCAGTCCTAACAGGTAAAATGAGTCTTTTTCCGGTTACCACAAGTACCCACAATAATGTTTTGCCAAAATACAATATATCTGAAAAAGAATTTATAATCAAATTAGGTTTCGTAATAATTTTATGGATTCAAACACAACTGATGAACCAGTTTTGTCACAAAATATCTAATTTTGATTAGTGAGCTTCATAACGTAAAACTGTTCGATTAATTTAGATTAACTTTCAAGTGGATAATTAGCACACCTAGTTGTTAACTTTTTTTGTAGTTTAGGGTTTTATAACGAATAATTAATTTTTTTATTGAGTTCATTATCCAATGATATTTTGTGAAACGTTAAATGGTAAATATTCCAACCTAAACTTGTGTGTCATAAACTTGGTTTGATAATCCAAAGTCCTTTAAAATAAATTTGCTTTATTGTTAGGTGAAATTAAATCGAGGACAAGACTATGCATATATTCAGAAAAAAAATGCACAGAATTAATGGTTTTCCAGACCGGCAGATATTGAAAACCTTTGGCCGTGATTTGGCTCCTTTGATTAGAGACTATGTAATATAGTATAGAGAGATGCACTTCTTATTTATCTTAGAATTGATCGACTACAGAAAGATTGACTTTTTGGCCTTATTCTACTCGACATTTCTCTCATTTAGCTTATAAACCAAAATCTACAGTATTCTGTGCACCTCACCCACTAATTACTTTTGAGTATATTGATCGGATTAAAATCACACGCTATACCCATACTTCCTTCCTTACGCCTGTTACCCCCAAAAGAGCATAGGCCGCCCACCAGTTTTCTCCAACCAACTCTGTCCTGGGCTTGCCTTCCCAGTTCTGTCCAATTTTTTTCATTCTCGTCATATCTTTCTCTATTTCTCGGCGTAATGTGTTCCTTGGTCCTTCTCTTTTCCTTTTGCCTTGAGGGTTCCAAGTGAGGGCTTGTCTGGTGACACGGTTAGGTGTTTTTCGTAGTGTGTCCTGTCAACTTCCACCACTTCTTACTCATTTCCTCCTCCACCGGAATCTGGTTTGTTCTCTCCCACAGTACGTTGTTGCTAATGGTGTCTAGCCACCGAATCCGAAGTATTTTGCTTAGAAAACTGTTAATAAACACTCGTATTCTCTGGATGATGGCTTTGGTAGTTCTCCAAGTTTCCGCTCCAGTAGAACATTAGAACTGTCTTGACATTTGTATTGAAAATCCTGATTTTGGTTTTGGTTGAAAGTTGTTTGGGGTTCCAGATATTTTTCAACTGTAGAAATGCAGCCCTTACTTTGCCGATCCGCGCCCTCACATCTGCATCGGATCCACCTTGATTGTCGATGACGCTGCTCAGATATGTAAGGGTGTTAACGTCTTCCAAGGCGTGTCCATCAACAGTGATTTGGTTGGTGCATGTTGTGTTGCATCGGAGAATTTTGCCTTTTCCTTTATGTATGTTGAGACCTACTGCTTCAGAGGCTGCTGCTACACTGGTCGTCTTCTCTTGCATTTGTTGTTGCGTGTGCGATAGAAGAGCCAGGTTATCTGCGAAGTCCAGATCGTCCAGCTGCGTCCTAACTGTCCAGTTGATACCGTGCTTCCCTCCAGATGTTGACGTCTTCATAATCCAGTCGATAACCAGGAAAAAGCGAAAGGGCGAGAGTAAGCAACCTTGCCTGACACCGGTCTTCACCTCGAACGAGTCTGTTAGCTGTCCTCCTTTCTTTGGTATTTTGATCAGGTATCCTTCTTTCCAATCTGATGGTACTTGTTCCTCATCCCAAATATTGTTGAAGAGAATGTGAAGTATTTTTGCAGTTGCTTCTACATCTGCTTTCATTGCCTCTGCTGGAATGTTGTCTGGTCCTGCTGATTTGCCGCTCTTGATTTGTCTGATGGCCATGCTGATCTCCTCAATCGTAGGTGCGCCAATATTAATTGGGAGGTCCGTGGATGCTGCTTCGATGTTGGGTGTGTTCAATGGAGCTGGTCGATTCGAGAGTTCCTTAAAGTGTTCTACCCACCTATTTCGCTTTTCTTCAGTGTTGCTGTTTACTTTGCCTTGCTTTTCACTGGTCGTTCTGGTTTACGATAGTTTCCAGCGAGCTTCTTTGTTGTTTCGTACAATTGTCTCAAGTTTCCGTCTCTTGCAGCCTTTTCCGCCGTCATTTCTAGATCTTCCACATATTTTCGTTTGTCAGCTCTGATGCTCTTCTTCACTTCCCTGTTTGCTTCTGTGTATTCAGCTTGTGCGGTAGCTTTCTCTGCTGTTGTTCAGCTGACATTGATTGCTGCCTTCTTGTTCCTCCTTTCTCCAATTTTTGCAAGAGTATCAACAGAGATCCGATCCTTGTGATGGTACTTCTTGTGACCCAGAACTTCGTGACATGTTGAAGTGATTGCCTCCTTGATCCCTTTCCAATTGTTCTCCAATGTTGCGTCCTCTCCATTGAGTAGATCCTGAAAGGCCTGGAAACTATTGGTGAGGGTTGTGTTGAATTCGTTGAGTTTTACGGTATCCCGAAGAAAGGCTGTATTAAACGTGTATGTTGTCTTCCCTGTTGTCCAGTGTTTCTTGAGTTTCAGTTTTATTTCAGCGACCAGCAAGTGGTGATCTGAGGCTATATCAGCTCCTCTATTGGTTCTCACATCCTCCATAGTCCTTCTGAACTTTTTGTTCATACAGTAGTAGTGTGGTCCGGTGAAATCCATGTGGCTTTGTGAATGCGTTTGTGCGGGAATATTGTGCCACCGATGACCAGTTTGTTGAAGGCACATAGGTTTGTAAATCTCTCACCGTTTTCGTTTCTTTCTCCCAGTCCATGTCGTCCCATGATGTCTTCATATCCAGTGTTGTCCATTCCAACCTTGGCATTCAGGTCTCCCATAAGAATCGTCAAATCCTTTGGTGAACATTTCTCGACGATTGACTGCAGCCTTTCGTAGAATTGATCTTTAATGTCGTCATTGTAGTCATTGGTAGGTGCATAGCATGGGATCACGTTGATTGTAATGTCCTCTTTCTTTGTTTTGAAGGATGCTTTAATGATCTTGGGTCCATGAGATTCCCATTCTATCAGTGCCTTTTGTGCATGTTTGGACAGCATCAGTGCAACTCCTTGTGTATGTGAAGCGTCTTCCTCTTCATGACCAGAGTATGACAGCAGTTCCCCTGAAGCTAGTCCCAGTTTTCCTACCTGTGTCGAACGCGTTTCACTGATGCCGAGCACCTCGAGGTTGTATCTTTTCATTTCTGCCGCAACTTGAAATAGTCTTCCAGTCTCCCACAATGTACGAACGTTCCATGTACCTAAAAAAATGGTTGCTCTGGTTGTCAGAAGAGACATCGGCCCCGTGACTTCCGAGGGAACTCGGCTTTCATCACGAGGGTCTACAGGCGGAGTTGCTATACCCATATGCTATTGTTTAATTTACTATTCGCGAAGCAAATGAAACACCAATTATAATACAGTAGAAAATATCCATGTAGTTTGGACACTAATATTTACTGCATCGCGTTTACCTCACAGAGCGTCAGCCTTCATATTATTGTTTATTATTGGTTTTACTTTGGATTGGATCTTAGTTCATTAATTTGGTTATTTTTCTACACAATGTCTGAAGTTGTCCGTCATTTAAATTTTCTCACTACACTCATAACGTAAGAACGAAGCAGCAAATTTCGTAATAAAATGTCGAGCGATTTACTAGTCAACTAGTGGCTTTAATGACAAAAGTTATTTGCATTAGTGTTTGCGTTACTTATTAATAGAAATTTCCGTTAACAAACCACTGAATAGTATATTTATGATGTTAAATATGTTTAATTCAAATTTTCTTCACTTTACTCGTTTGCTCTAGTCTTTTCTACTTACTTTGATTTGACTAGTTTGTATTCTATGATATAGTCGGATATTTTAACTAATTATGTTAGTTATAATTAAATTTTTGTTGAACAGTACCTAAAATTATTTCCTAGTACTTCTTTAGAGTTAGCAGCTTTATTTGGTTTTAATAATTCCTAAGTTTGATGTGATAAGAAATGTTTGAAATTGTAAAAATAAATATAATTATTCAAGATCAAGGTTCATTATTCGTTCAGTATTTTCTTTACAAATTGAATTTCGATTTCATGTAGGCCGTTGTGCAAACTCTGTAGAAAATCATTTTTTTTTCAAACCGTTAATTAGTTACAAGCTAAAGTTCTGACCAATTATTTGTTTAATTGAAAATATTCACTGGCATTGTTTCTGTGAGAACAAATTCTTGTCTCATTGACATATCTGTAACGAACTATTTGAGCAGACTTGTGAATATAGGATTGTTATTTAATCGGTTACTTATCGACGTATCACGTAAAATCCCTGATTACTCCTTCGTTAACAAAAGTTCTGAAAAATATCTGATTACGAAAACCATATCATTCAGCATTTAACACTTAACCGTAATTCAGTGGATTCTTAGGGCCTTCAAGGAGGAACTTAAGATTAAA